ATTTAAAAAATAATTCAAATATAATTTGTTATTTTTTTATATAATTTTATATGTTATTTAAGTAATAACTATTTTAATCAATTTAAAACTTGTGATATTTAGTGTATTAATTGATTTAATAACATATAAAAATCATATAAAAAGTCTTTTTTTGAGACGTATAAAATGGTTTTTAAAAGACTTGTTTGACTACGTACTAGGTGCCTCCAACAATAAGGCATAATCCCCATAAGCTCTCTAATTATTTGTTTTTGAGACTATTAACCTCTTAACATATATTTTTTGTGTTTTAGCCCTTAAATGTCACATTATTACTGTAAATGTCTTAAAATAAACATAATTTCATCACTAACTCATATGACTATCTCTACTCTATTACTTTATCCTTATTAGCACTATACTGGAATAAATATGGTACACTTGGACCTATGGACCTATAAAGATAAGGAAAAATCCCATTGAATATAAGATTCATGTATACTTTAAATAGGACTTTTCTTGCCTCTACAAGTTTAAATAGACCATATTTATATCAACATAGCACTATCAAAGATAAGGTAATGGAATAGAGACAGCCTCATAACTCATATGATAGAATTCCATTTATTTTAGTCTAATTACAACAACAACATGAAATTTATAAGCTCAAACACAAAAAATATATGTTGAGGGACTAATAGTTCAAAGACAAATAGTTAGAGGGCTGCTAGGGGTTTAAGCCCAACAACAATGCCAAGGGAAATTTAATATTAAACATCTCAGCTCATAAAAACAAGACTCCACGGGAAGTCCTATAAGCCATAAACACCGTAGCCCAGCAGATCCCTCCTGGTATCAGCTCTCTGTAAAAAGCAACTCCGCGCAGATAGCGAAATCAAAAAAATCAAACCCAAATATCCAGACATTCATCGGCCAGCCAACATTTATGAAAATAAATGCATAGATAATTCCGAGAATTGGAAACTTAAAACGACTCTTTTGATCTTCTCTCACTTCTACACAGAGTGTGTCGAACCTACTTCTCATTTCCTCCATGTAAGTGTTCCTGTCACCGTTAAGTTTTGCTTTTGGTCCATTTATGATGGACCCTTTTGCTTTTAATCTAATGGGGTTTTCTTATCTCTTCGATTCTGCTTTTTTTTTCTTGTATCTTCATCTGATTGCATGCTGTTTATGTTGAGAGTAATGTTGCTGTTCTGTTGATTGTTGGGGTGGCTTAAATGGAAATGGGGTTTCCTATCTCGTTCTGATTATGTTGGGAGTTATGTTGCTGTTTTGTTGTTTGTTGGGGTAGCTTAAATGGAAATGGGGTTATCTATCTCGTTTTTATTTTGTGGGTGGTTTGAGATTTGTATTTGTGTGATTGATTGGTTTGAGTTTCAGGAAAACCCATAAATGGAATCACTATTCTGAGTTCATATCTACCTAGTTTTGTTTTTCTTTCTACTTGGTCCCCATTCTAGAGTGTGCATTTTCTTTTTCCATTTCATTCTAATTGAAAGAAATGTTATTTCTTCTAGTTATGGCATTGATTAAAAGGATGGCTGTGAATTTTGTTCGGATCCACTTTCTGTTGAAATATTCCTAGATATTTTGATATTTTCAGTTTGTTTTGTTCGTTTGTTTTGCATTTCTGTTTTTTCTGGTTTGAAGAAACCCATTCAAACGTTTTCTTTGATGTAGATTTACTAGCCATTATATTTATATGGGTATGTATAAAATGTTAGAATTTGAAAGGCAGACCTTTGTAGAGTATGATAAGAGAAAAAAGAAAGATGAAAATCTGCGGTATGGATGTTGTGTTTTACCTCATGGTTAGGGTTGTTGCGTGGAGCAAGGTCAGAAATATTCATTTAGTTCTGATTGTTTAGTTTCTATGTTTTTACTCTGCAGTTTTTTATATTAAATAATGGATGCAAAGCCCAAGAGGAGAGTTATTAGCGAGAATGGTGATATGGGAGAGGACTTGGTCCTAGCCACTTTGATTGGGAATGGAGATGATGTGGGTCATCTTGTTAGACACTCCTTTGAAATTGGGCGGCCAGAACCACTAGTCCTGCAGCTGAAGAATGTTGTGAGAAAGAAGGAAACTGAAATTGAGGACCTCTGCAAGACACACTATGAGGAATTTATCCTTGCAGTTGATGAGCTTCGTGGTGTGTTGGTTGATTCAGAAGAGTTAAAAAGAGATCTTGCAAGCGATAATTTTAAGTTGCAAGAGGTTGGGAGTGCTCTCTTGGTTAAGCTTGAAGAGCTTCTGGAATCCCATTCAATTAAGAAAAATGTGACTGAAGCTTTAAAAATGTCGAAGATTTGCATTCAAGTCTTGGAGTTGTGTGTTAAATGTAACACTCACATCTCTAAAGGTCAGTTTTTCCCTGCATTGAAAAGTTTGGACCTGATTGAGGAGAACTACTTGCAGAATATCCCCCTAAAGGCACTCAAGATGATGGTATGGAGGACCATTCCAGTTATAAAATCACATATTGAGAAGAAAGTAACTAGTCAGTTTAATGAGTGGCTGGTTCAGATCAGGAGCTCTGCAAAAGATATTGGACAGACAGCAATAGGTCATACTGCATCATCACGTCAGAGGGATGAGGAAATGCTAGAGCAACAGAGGAAAGCCGAGGAGCAAAACATTTCTGGGTTGGTAGAATCTGCTTATACTTTGGATGTGGAGGAAATTGATGATGATGTTGTTTTAAAGTTTGATCTCTCACCTCTTTATCAGGCATACCATATCCACACTTGCCTTGGAATTGCTGAGCAGTTTCGTGAATATTTTTATAAGAATCGGATGTTGCAGCTAAGTTCTGACCTGCAAATCTCTTATGCACAACCATTTGTTGAATCATATCAAACTTTTTTGGCTCAGATTGCTGGCTACTTTATAATTGAAGATCGGGTCCAAAGAACTGCTGGGGGACTCTTGTCTGCTGACCAAGTTGAGACAATGTGGGAAACAGCTGTAGCTAAATTAACTTCCATTTTGGAGGAACAATTTTCTCAAATGGATTCTGCAACACATCTTCTTCTGGTGAAAGATTATGTCACACTTCTTGCAGCAACCCTCAGGCAGTATGGGTATGGAGTGGATCCAATTCTTGAGATATTGGATAATAGCCGAGACAAATACCATGAGCTCCTCTTAGAAGAGTGCCAGCAGCAGATTGCTAATATTCTTTCGAATGATACATATGTACAGATGGAAATGAAGAAGGATACTGACTATGAGAGTAATGTTCTAGCCTTCCATCTTCAGACGTCAGACAGAATGCCAGCCTTCCCCTTTAATGCACCATTTTCCAGCATGGTACCTGATTGTTGCCACATTGTCCGTTCATTCATCAAAGGGTCTGTTGATTATTTGTCTTACGGAATGCATACTAATTCTTTTGATTTTCTGAGGAAGTACCTCGACAAGCTCTTGATTGATGTCTTAAATGAAGTCATACTTAATACAATTCATGATAGTGGCATTGGTTTCTCTCAAGCCATGCAGATTCCTGTGAACATTGCATTTCTTGAAAGAGCATGTGATTATTTCCTTCAACATGCTGGTCAACTATGTGGGATCCCCGCCCGATCAGTTGAAAGACCAGAAGTCACTTTAACAGCAAAAGTGGTCCTTAAAACTTCAAGAGATGCAGCTTATGATGCTCTGCTGAACTTGGTAAATACTAAATTGGATGAGATTATGGCAATTACGGAAAATATCAACTGGACTTCGGAGGAGATTTCTCAAAGTAATAGTGAGTATATCAATGAGGTGATTAATTACCTTGATGCCATTTTGTCAACTGCGCAGCAAATTTTTCCTTTGGATGCTTTGTACAAAGTTGGAAGTGGGGCTCTTGAGCACATTTCTAATTCTATTGTGGCAGCATTTCTTAGTGATAGTGTCAAGAGGTTCAATGCAAATGCAGTCATGACTCTCAACAGTGATCTGAAGATGCTAGAGGATTTTGCTGATGAGAGGTTTCATAGCACTGGCTTGAGTGACATATACAAGGATGGTAATTTTAGAAGCTATTTGATAAAAGCTCGACAACTGATAGACCTTTTGTCCAGCAGCCAACCAGAAAACTTCATGAATCCTGGGATTAGGGAGAGAAATTACAATGCTTTGGATTACAAGATGGTCGCTACCATTTGTGAGAAATTCAAAGATTCCACAGATGGGATCTTTGGGAGCCTTTCAAGCAGAAACACAAAGCAAAGTACTAGGAAGAGATCACTGGACGTGCTGAAGAAAAGATTGAAAGAGTTCAACTGAGGATTGTATGTCAATAAAAATTGAAGACTAAGAAGAATTCAATAATTTCTCTGCATTAGAAGTAGTTATGCTAATTTCATGATAGTTATTTCTTTCCTCTATTTCTTTTGATTTTTAGAATGGCATGGATTAATCAGCTTTGATGTTCATAAATTTTTATAATAAAGTTCCCTTATATTTCCTTCTCATTTAGTGTTATTTCTTCCTTTTACTTATCTCCATGATGCATCGTTGTTTAATTTTCATTTCTTTTGATTCTTTGTTTTGTTGAATGTGTATGTTTAGCCAGAATGATTATCAAGTATATATTATGCAGGTCCTCAGTGTTGTGGGCCGAATCTTTGTGTTCCTAATGCTGTTGTAGAAGCCTTGTCTTTGTAGGTGTCTTCACAACTGGGGTGTGATTGGTTGAGATCACCTATTCCATGTGGGGATTATATTGATCCCATTCTCCAAGCACCGATCAGGGGAACTCTTGGCAACAAAACTGGTGCTCCTCCCCATCTGTAAGTTTTAACTTTCGAATCTCTCCGTTAGTCTCCACCTTCAAGTTGGAAATTATGGAGTTTCTTTGGTCTGTACGATGCAACCAATGGAAAAACTAATAGTGTGCAAATTTGTTGTGTGATTTCGGTTTCTCGAATTTTGAGTTTTTTTTTTTTTGATAAATTTCATAAATTTAGAGTTATTTTATGTGTCATGGACAAGTTCATGCTTTTGTTTTTTGTTTTGTTTTTCTTTTCTTTTATTTTATTATTATTATTTTTTTTTTGGCCTTCATGGACAAGTTCATGTTCAGGCCTCCAGGAACAGAGCTTTAAGTCAGCAATTACCCTTCTCAATGGTTTCTTGTTCTTATTTACAAAAAAAAAAAAAGAAAAAAAAAAAAAGCTTATTGCATGTTTTAGAGACCTAAAAAACTTGTATCCTTATTTGCACATTTTCTCTAATAAAAAACAAGATTTTTATATTTCTTCACACCTTTCACCAAACCCACCATTTGTGTTGATAGCCTTTGTTCAAAATCTGTTCCACGAGTCTGGTGCAACCATGGAGCTCCAGCTGAGTTATTTTCCTTGTTTCCAAAAGAAAGACTAGGGCAACACAATCTATTTATATTCAATTAGACTAACGTCCTACACATTCACTAAAAGATTGAACACCAGAAGAGCAACAGCAAACCAAGGTACATAATGCCAATAAGCGAGAATAAAAAAAGGTTAGCTAACTAGCATAATCGTGCCATAAATTATTTTTCTAGATCATATGTGCTATGTCAACACCCCATATGGTAATTTCCTATAGCTGTAAAGGTAAAATAATGTTTACGGTTCTCCAGTTAGGATGATACAGCAGGGTAAATGACCATGTCAGGTCATCTTCTAGCTATTCTAAATGAAAACAGTACTGTAAAGAAATGTTCAATGAAATTGTATGCTCTGTATGATACCACTACAAACAGGTGCCATTGAACTACTGTTATAGACTCAGCACAAAATGCTCTCCATTCTAGAATTTGATTGGTTGACGTAGCATACATTGCAAGTTGCCACATCATTTTCAAAAGAAAAATTGGAAAAGAACTATTCAGGCCTAGTTGCTAATGAACATCATGCGTAGAGCAAAAAGTTGATGCCCGCACCTGGAGATTGAATATATGTGCTGTTGAATTAATATCCTAAGACTTCAATGTTCAGAATGAATGGTACAATGACCTGCACTAGACTAAGCAGCATCGCTACTTGAAGCATCAGATTTTACCCTCCGGTAGAAGAGGACATATGCAGCAGATGACTTCACATCTTCATCATTTATGAGTGAAATGTGGTTGTCATCAAAATTGTACCACTTATTCTCATCTAGAAGCTGCAGGTTCCAGAATTCAAAGCAGGGTGAGATGGAAATGGTAGATGATGCAACCCCATAGCCAATTGGCAGAAACATAATATCAACTTTATAAGCTACAATAAATAGATGCTATAAACTCCACAACATTCTCATTCTAACAAGTGAAAATACCTCAGCCAGAACAAGCTGGAAAAACTAGTTCTTTACATTAATCATGGTCAGACAACTGCACTCCAAAGAAAATCTAAATAATTGAACAGGTTATGCTATCATTTTGAAATGCACTAATAAATAACAGCATCTTTTAGCCTTTTCTTCTCATATCAAATAAAAGAGTAAATGTGACTTGCCTTGATATGTGCAGTATAGTGCCCACTGCCCATGCTACCATAATGGTTGATCAAGGCATAGAGTTCATACAGCTGACGCCTGGAACTTCTTTTGTCCACCACATAATTTCTTAGGTCCAGGTCATGAATAGGAAAGTTGACAAACGTTTCCAGTTTATGTTTCATTGACCTGCTGTATGAGAATCTTTTTAGATGAATAACTAGGACCTCTGGAAGCCTCCATAGATCAAGCTTCTTACTTGCTTGCCTTTGTTCTTTGCATTGTGGACAGTACCTACAACGGATATGTTAAGTAATTCATACCTGACATTTGAATCCAGTGCAACCCTATATATCCTTTTGAAAAAGGAGTATGTGACTTCACTACACAAGTTTAATTAGAAATTTAAGACATACAACAGGATGCCTAGAGATTGGACATAAATTAATACAAGAATTTCAGAGTGAAAGCATATTGAATTATAGGGGCTAAAGCCCCTAAACTGATAAAAGTTCCCAGCAATATTAGCTAATAGAAAAGTCTTCCAAAGTATATTAAGGAACAGATAAAAATTGAAGATTGCCAGTCAAGGAAAGAAAGAAGAGGGCCTTGCACCCTAATAGACCACCAAAATTTACTTCACAAATATATATACTGCTCATAATCAACTCCTTGATTAATAGAAACAAGAGAAACATTGTCCTATCTTCTGCAGGTACTGGTTAAAGTTGGATATTGGTCACCAGATAGAAAATTGTACCATCAAATTTTAAATCAAGATACCATCAAATTTGAAGTAAATTCTACATTGAAACTGAATAACTGCTAAATTCTACACACGTGTGTGCTATCTATCTATCTATCTATCTGTCTGTCTATCTATCTAGAGAGAGAGAGAGAGAGAGAGAGAGAGAGAGAGAGAGCACCAACCACATATCTTCTGGCACCAGTGGCTCTTCACGTAGAAAAGCTTCCAGGCAAGTGTACAAGGAGAGAGGTTCATTACGAGCTTTCTTGACTACAGGACCATATTTAAACACCTCTGGCAAGTTCTCCAAGTAATGTGTATTGTACTTCTCCAGAAGCTCAGGTCGCCAATCAAGATACACCAATAAAGATGTTGATGAAGATGACAGTTCAATAGTTTTCTCCTCTTCCATAGACAGGTCAATGCATGCATTATTTTCATCAATCAGCTGAAGAGGGAGCTTCTGGGATGTCACAACCTTGGAACGGTTAGCATCCTTATTCATTGAGTTTGAAGTGCATTCCATAGGTGCTTTGATAGAATTATCATCACATGGTTTTGCTGCTGCCACTGAGATACTAGCATCCCAATTATCAGAACCCTCAAAGCCTTCCTTTTTCAGCAAAGGGGTAATCATTGACTGAACTATTTTCTGTATATTGGCCACTGTGAATCCATCTTCACATAAGATTGATGAAACAAAAGGTGCTCCAAAAGGTTTCCATCGTTGTGCGTCACTACTTTCCCTAAGTAATAATGAAGAAATATAAAGATCAGATTAAACCAGCTACATACATGAATGTCCTCCATAATCACAAAGGATCTGTTGAAGTTTCAAAGCAAGAACATCACAGCAGCAACAGATCAAATTTTTAGAAGTGCTATCTTCTCATTCATCCAGAATGTCAAATTAATTCAGAGAGAAGAAAAAAAAAAAAATTGAATGCAATTACTTAAGGAAAGAAGGAAAAGGTGCAATATAATGAATGCCCTTCTGAAGTAATCACAAAGGCAATTTTTTAAACACCCTATGCAATCAATGGCCTACATACAATTTAATAATGGAAGATCACTAAAAGGAAAAAGGGTAAATTTTCAGTTATATGACCATGACATCAACACCTCAGATGCTAATGGCATTGTAAAACAAATGAACAAAAGAAACTTCAAGTTGGACAGAATGCAAACAAGGTGCACTTTGGGGTGTCATCCTAACATTTTTGTAGTATATATTCAAGTTGAGCATGAGATTTGGCAAATTGTACATACTGTTCTTGACGTCGGTGTATCAACCGAAGCAATATATTGCTCTTTGCTGACTTTTGCATCTTGTAGGCAGCAAGGCGATCATCATCTTTGATTGTGGATAATGATATCAAAGGATCTTCCAGAAACCTTTGAATCAAATGGTTTCGTATCTGTATTAACACAGTCAAACAAAATAACCCAACTAAGAATGTATCAAAATTCCAGAAAATAAAACTGGAATTTTAAAGGGTACTTACCTCAGCAAGCCTAATCTCCTCACTCTGCTTCAGTGAACAAATATTGCTAAGTGCTTGGATCAAGTCCCTGCAACGGCCCTGCTTTGGAACAGTCACAGTGCAAGTAGATGGCAATGCACTTCCATCACAAGTAAAAACTGTTATGGTAATGGTCCGAGTTGTTGTAGACTGAAGTGGCAAGGAGAGGTACATGAAGGGATCAAATGTTACAGACACTTTATTACACACTGGACAAACCAAAGTTGACTTGTATTGTCCCTACAATATAAGCACAGGTAGAGATACAAAAATTAAGGAGAAAGTAAAATGAATATCAACGATAATAGTTGGTAAGCAATAAAGTGCCACATCAAAATTCTATACTAGGAGGACAGATATTTACACCACATAAGAGAATTCCTTTCGTAGAGGTGAGGGTTGGGAATATAAAGTTGATATCTAATTCAAATATACCCTGTTAAATTTTTTATGGCACAAAAGATTCATATCCATTGAGAAACAGGGGAAAAAGATACATCCCTTTAGTTTCTTTCCCCCTATTTTTAAAACTGAATAAAGACTCTTCCTAGAAACTGTTACTTGATCCTTCCTTGAAAATATCAGCTTATTGTCAAACAGTTCTCATTGCACAAAAAGTTACAAGAGCCTGGTTCTTGAGCATTTTCATGATCCTTGGCATAATGTATACAAATATAAAGTGAATAAAAGTTGAGAACAAACATTCATCAACCTCAGGTGTCTCACATCTTGAGACTACAATATAATTAACCACTTACTTGGCACACATCAACAATTATGGAATTATTACGAGCGATATGATTTGCCCAGTACTCATCTGCAACTTCTTCATCTGGACGGCCATCAGCATCTCTAGAGTTTATGTAGGGTTTCTGTTTAACACGATTAAGATCTTCATGAAGACCATCAAGCAGAAATGCTAAAAGTTCCTGAAATAAAAATAAACAGCTTGGTTGATCCATAAAAATAATAACAACAACAAAAGCAACAATAATAACAACTAACAATAATAACAATAACAACAACAAAAATAATAAATAAATAAGAAATGAATGATAATAAGAAGAAAGTAAAATCAACAGCGAACCTGAGAATCGTGCTGATTGTTTCCACTAAATTGAGGAGCAAAACGAGCAAGCTTAATTTTAAAGGAACGAGGAGAGATTGGTATTCGTCCAGGTGCCCACAGCCTTCTGAGCAAGTCACCAAATGCTAAAGCTAGCTCACCCTACACAAGGACCAATCACTCAGGGGTCTAATAAATCAAGCTCAAAATCAACCAAAACCCGATACTTTTCAAGAACAAACATGGGTATTTTTCACCATATATAATTCCAAATGTTTCAACATCTTATAATTTATTTTGTCACATTTTCTACAAGAACTGATAGACCGAGGCATTGAACATGGAAAGGTATGGCATCTGAAAATGAAAAGCATCTCTAGATTGCCCTTCATTCAAGCCTCTAGACAGTTTGACTAATCCCAATTCTAGCATTCAATTATCAAGAATTATTTTGCAAGCTTACAGTATCCTGGATACCAGAACCAAACAAACATCCAAGCAAGAATAGCTAGATATAGCAGCTTCCATGTAATCTCTACAATGTGCATATAATATGTATGCATATTTTCTTCTTTCTCTCTCTTTTTTTTTTGGTTGTGGTTCA